TCTATGCTTTATGGAATATTACCCATAAGTAATCCAGACGTTTTTCTGCTTGTTTGCAGAACTGTGCAACGTTAACCAGCAAAGGCACGAAACAAGCACTTTTTTTAAAGTAACTAACGAATAAATGACAAATATTTTACGTCAATTTTACTTTCGTTGTTATTTCTTATATATAGTAAGAAAAACTTTTCTTCCTAATAAATATTATTTATTTTCGTGTATAAAGGCGACATCTTTGAATCGTACGCTTTCGATGGTCATTGCTGTTGACGCAACGCGAACAACTCGTACGAAGCATTATCAAATTTGACATTCGCTCAAAATTCAAGTAATTACGAAATGACATCTGCAATGGTACCTAGTACCCGGGCGATGCATGCAAATGCTGATAAATCGCCGTTACAGGCATTTGTTAAAGCTAAGAAGAAAATCAACGATATTTATATGGAAATTGAGGAGTATGTAGATGAAGTCACGCAGTTTATTAACGGTTTGCATGTAGAAGAGGAAATTGTTAACGAAGCCGAACGGAAAGTCTTTGCAAGTTATGGTCATAAAGTGGCCGGCATTCGTGAAATTTTAGCACGCGATCATATGAAAGTCGCTTTCTTCGGACGCACATCGAATGGCAAAAGCTCGGTTATAAATGCCATGCTGCGCGAAAAAATTCTACCGACCGGCATCGGTCATACTACAAACTGTTTTTGCCAAGTTGAGGGTAGTGACGGTCCTGAGGCATATCTTATCAAAGAAGGCTCCCATGAAAAGCTCAATGTAACAAGCATCAAGCAATTAGCAAATGCTTTGAGTCGAGAAAAATTAAGCGAAAGCTCTCTTGTGCGCATATTTTGGCCTCGCGAACATTGCAGTTTATTGCGTGATGATGTCGTGTTTGTAGACTCACCCGGCGTAGACGTTTCGGCTAATTTAGACGATTGGATTGATAATCATTGCTTAAACGCCGATGTATTCGTGCTAGTTTTGAATGCTGAATCTACAATGACGAGAGCCGAAAAGCAATTCTTTCATACTGTATCGCAAAAACTCTCGAAACCCAACATTTTTATATTGAATAATCGCTGGGATGTTTCGGCTAATGAACCCGAATTTCAAGAATCTGTAAAGTCACAGCACACTGAACGCTGTGTAGAATTTCTTAGTAAAGAATTGAAAATTACGAATGAAGCGGAAGCCGCGCAAAGAGTTTTTTTTGTATCAGCTCGAGAAGTCTTGCAGGGCCGTGCAGAAGAAGCGAAAGGCAATTCGCCCAGTTTGGGTGCAATTGCCGAAGGTTTTCAAATGCGTTATTTTGAATTTCAAGACTTTGAACGTGAATTCGAAGAATGCATATCCAAGACTGCTGTACAAACAAAATTCGAGAAGCATAGTTCTCGAGGAAAAGCGCTGGCAACTGAGATGTGCGAAATGCTAGAAGACATATTAAAACGCGTCTCTGTATTTCTCAATCAGAAATTGGATCAAAAAAATATTTTAATTGAACACATTCAGGGCACTGAGATTGAAATGATAAATGTTGCGCGTGAAACGAAATTACAAATACACAATATGGTCGAGGGAGTGGAACAGAAAGTGTCGAAAACTCTTAATGACGAAATTTGGCGTTTAAATGTATTCATCGATAAATTTAATATGCCTTTCCATCCGGACCCACTAATGTTGAGCTATTATAAAAAGGAATTAAATTCCCATGTCGAGTCTGCTTTGGATTCTAATTTGCGTGCTAGAATGTCGATGGCTTTAACTATGAATATAGAGGCAGCAGAACGTGATATGATCGCACGTATGCATGCTTTGCTGCCAAATGAAAAGTTCAGTGAGCTGACAAATGAAATTTTAGCAAGGACTCAACCCTTTGAGATGCTATACTGTTTAAATTGTCAAAACTTGTGCGCTGACTTTCAAGAAGCCTTAGAGTTTAAGTTTTCCTGGGGTATTTCGGCCATGTTACAACGTTTCACTGGGAAGATGAAGAAACGGATTCGGAAAAACCGAGCGGCTATGTATTGCCAAAGTAATGCTCAACTTGCAACGCCAACTCGCATGACAATCGCTCCGGTCGGTGGCACAATTAAAGAACGAATGTCAATCGTATCACGTCTTGCCTTGGCTTCTGTAGGATTTCGGGGTACTGTAGGCGGTCTTGTCGTATCGGGAATTATGTTAAGAACGATAGGCTGGAGAGTATTGGCAGGTTTTGGAGTTCTTTACGGCTTTGCTTATATGTACGAACGTCTCACTTGGACAAAATCAGCTAAGGAGCGCGCTTTTAAATCACAATATATACGTCACGCAACCAAGAAACTTAAAATGATTGTTGACCTCACCTCGGCCAATTGCAGTCATCAAGTGCAACAAGAGCTATCCAGCATATTTACTCGTTTATGCCGCTCTGTTACCAATGCTACCATTGACATGAACGATGAGCTTAAAACGCTGGAAGCACAAATTACGCTACTCGAGAATACTCAAAAACGAGTGAAATTGTTACGCAACAAAGCCAACTACATACAAAACGAATTGAAAATATTTGAAAATATTTACATTAAATCAAATTAATAGTGAGCTTATTACCTTTTATTTCGACCCCTAAAACGAAATCAAGGAAATTCAAAATCCAAATAATTCGCCAGATCGCAAATGTTACCCTTACCTGATTTAAATGAAATTGCGATTGTATTCTGAGCGACTTTAAGTGCAAATATTATTTATTGCAAACTCGTGAACATTTTTTAAATTATGCGTAAATATTTTAGTTTTAAATAATAGTCGTATGTGAAATTTTTGACAATCTTTTTTTTTATTAGATATAACTGATTCCTAGAAGAAGTCTTCAAAAAATTGCATTCGTTTTTTTTTTTTTTTTGCTATGTCAACTGGAAAATATGCAATTGTTCCATTACTACATATTGTAAATTCTTTTTTTTTTGTTTTTGTATAACTAAACTTTATAACTTTTGTTTTTTTTTTTATTTTTTCTCTAAATAAATTTAATTGACAATTGCATCAGATGTCTTTGTTGATCTCCATTTAGCAACGATTCTGTGTTATATGAGTAAATAGTGGAAACAAACCCTTTTTTATACCCTCCATCCCAGGATGGGGGTACACTCATTTTGTTTTTTTTTTTTTCCAAAATATATGTAACTCCCAAAAGGAAGCTTTAGTACATTTATTCTTTATCAGCAATAAAGTCTGATTGATTTCATTTATCCATGTCCGTCCGTCTGTATATCTGTGTGGTGTGCGTTCTGATCGCACAAATAAAGATATCAACTTGGAGTTCAGTAGAAACATTTGGGAGTTTCTATACGCAGCTTGCTATTGAAAATGGCCCAAATAGGACGGATCGAAAGCGCGCAAACAATATTACGAGTAATTAAGTTTAATTTTTTTTTTAGTTTCTTGGGAGGTTATGCTTATTTATCATAAGGCTAACAAGTCAAACCGTTTAAAGCTATTTTGTATACTCTCTGGAAATGAAGAGATGTTACCTACCTAAAAATGGGTTAACTCTACAACGCATATGGTACACAGCGCCACAGGGGGGATTAACTTTTTCCTAATAACACCAGTCGTTAGGGTATCAAATAAAAGAACTTTGAGAGTAGAATGGAAAAAAGCACTGTAGTGGGTATGCGAGATTCTTCTCCCGCCGAATATAACTTTCGAACTTGCATAGCCACCAATAAGAAATCCGGCTTGCGTTCAGATTAAAGCTGGCTAATTAATTCTCTGTTTATTTGCCATATATTACATAAAGTATTCGGTCTGCTAGGAGCTTGTAAAAATATAAACAGTGTACAGAATAGAATAAATTTGCAAACTCCGACTGACACATTATTTAAAAACATAAATTTGGCGAAAAAAGTTAATGATAAGGGATAGGAGTAAGTTAGAAACATTGTAGAAGAAAAAAAACGTATCGACAGTCACCCATTTTGACGTGCGTTGATAATTTAATGTTAATAAAAACTAACAAGTCAATGGTCTTGGGTTGAAATCTCAAGTTCGGTATAGTTTTAAATAAAGCCAATGGCCTAAAAAGCTAGTGCTTTAAGTCTATTCTCTTTTCGGTAAATATCGTTTAGCTATTAAAAAGAATTCGATGAAAATCTGAGAATACCCATAGCTGAAAGTCAGATCGTTCCATTGAATGGGATAATTCTGTTTCCTGATACAGATTGAAAAACATATCGTTTCCACGCTTTGGAGAATCGGTGAAACGTGTCGTTCCATTGATTGGGATAATTCTTTTTCCTGATACAGATTGAAAAACATATCGTTTCCACGCTTTGGAGAATCGTTGAAACGTGTCCTTTTGCAAGTATTCTACACCTTGGCTTGCTTTCCATGCTCAGTGTTTTTGTGTTCACAATCTGTGGCCATAGTTCTCTTCTTTCTTTTTTGTTCAGAAAAAAAGAAGGAAACATCCTGACAAGTTGATCAATAATTTGCTAGAAAAAAAAAGAAGTGAACTCATGGATTTTAACATAATTTCACTCAAGTTATTATTGTTTATTGATTTTATCTGATATTCTTTACCTAGGGAGTATAAATTAATTCGATTCGTTATTTTTTAGTCAAAAATGTACCTATTTTTTCAAACCAATACGAATAAGCGGATTCATCAATGTATGGTCGTTTGTTGTATACTAATTTTTCCTTCCGCTTAGTGAATTTTTCGAATATCATTTCGGCAAAATGTTTCGTCTGTTGAGACTACTGCCAACAGAACCCTTTTTCACGCGGATAGCTTTCGAGCAAACAATAAGTCATCTATTGAAACCCGTGTAAATCCGAGGGAATAACGTCTGTTGATAACAGCTTGGAGTTTAGAGCATTCCAAGTTATAACTGCAAACATTTCCTGAGCGAGCTTCTTTATACTGAAAAGTCGCATATAATGACTTTTAACATATATTGCTTGCGTTTTTCGCCTCAATCGCTTTAATTGTTGTTGTGGTAGCTTCCTTTAATCAAGAGTTCGTTAGGGATAGACCAAACCATTCGAATTAAGCAGGAAAAGGAAAGTTTTCTGCAAATCGTTTGTTTTTTTTTTTTACACAGAATTACACCCGTTCACAGTTCTAACAAACTATGTTGCGTACCTTTTAATGGGATAATTAATTCAACTTCGTGTAGCTTCAGGCTAGTGCTCTCAAAGAAATTGCAATGTTTGTGCACTCTACAATGTTGTTTGTGCTCTCTCTTAGATAACGCGCCGAAGGCCTTTGCACCATCAATATAATGAAATCCACAATCTACCAGTTGACCATGATTACCTTACCCACCCCGAATATAGTCGTTTTGCTGTTTGAACAAAATCTTCGCGAGTTTTTTGCTCTGCCTGCGCTACGGAAAGTATGCAACCATATGGTAACGTTATACCCGTCTTCGTAAGCAATACTTTTTCCTATTTTTTTTTTTTAAGTTGCTGGGGAGGGTAAAGGGGGAGATGTAAAGCTTGTATAAAGTATGCATTATCCAGAAGGATGTCAAATGCGCCCATATTTTCTCCATTCAGAGTCATTTTCAGCATCAATTTAAGTACTTGTCTGTCCTTCAACGTTCATTCAAACCCGAAATGATTTGATCTACGCTCTTCTCACTTTTTTTTCTTCTTTGCTTGTTTCATTGACACTTGTGCGTTTAGGATGAAAGATGCGCATTTCATTATAGTTCGAGTTTAAAGGAAAGCCCAGGGAAATATTTGAAGTAAACCCTTGAGATACGAGATGAAGGAAAGATTTCATTTGGCTATTAACACATAAGCAAAACGAACCGACGATCCGGACGACTGGGTTATCAATGCGTTTTTGACAAATTTTTTTTTTTTTTTTGAAACAATACAACTGTGATAAATTCATGAACGATGCGATGCGAAAGCTCAATGTTTGCCGATGATTTCAATTTAAAATTTCCAAAACAAATATCTGACAAATAAACACATGCGCCTATAGCATACACCGATATACATATATATATGTGTGTATGTGCATTTGTACACATTGAAAGTAAGAAGAGAAAGAAAAAAAACTAAATAAAACAGGGCAACGATTACAAACATTTTGTGGGTAAAAAACTATGCGTGGATTTCAACTACCGAGTTACGTGCGCGTATGCGTATGCGTATGCGTCACAGGAAAAGGGCAGAATGCGCCGCCGCGCCGATTGTTTACGAAATGTTTGCGGCGGATATCTGCTGCATTTTATGCGTGTACAAAATATATGCAACGACTCATTGAAGCGGCTTGAAGGCTTTTGTGACATTATTGAAATTACTTAGCAAAGATAAAAGCGAACAAATGTATTCACCAAAAAACTGAACACAACTGGCCATCGCAACTTTGCAAGCAACTTCATCGACATGGTTATATCATAGATTAAGACAATAATGTATTTCTGAGTTCATCTTATGCGCATAGATTTGGCAGTCGGTCAAGCACCGAACACATCTCCTTACAAACTTTTGTTTTAAATTGGATTCGATTGTTTAACGAATCTCTCCTCCTCTCTCCTCGAGTCTCTCTCTCTCTCTCTTCCGTATTTCTTTTAATGTTTTGCGTATACAGAAGCATACGTCGATTACGCACATCTTTAAATGGCGAGCGCTGCTACTTCCAGAAAATGTGCTCCGGAATTTAGTTTTGTTTAATAACTCTTATGGGAACTTTACAATTATTTATGGTCCCCTCCCCCATCACAGCTCTTCCCGTCTTCTTCCTATATAGCAATTTTTTATTAAATAATTTTTTATCTACTGTGGATATTTTTATGCGGCTCGAGATAACTTTGTAGTCACTTTCGCATCTATTGCAGACGCTTATGTGTATGCTCCAATTACTCTTGCCGCTACGTTAAATTTTGTATATTGCAGACACTTTCAAGAGCAATCTCGCTTTTAGAATCTGTGCGTTCGGTATTGTTTGACTAGTGTAACGTTACGCCCTAGACAGCAGGTCTTGCCATCTTATTTCTATTATTTCACTGTTCTAGATATTCTTGTTTACACTGTAAATACATCTGCTCGTAGGTACCTTTAGAGCTTCTGTAGATACTTTCCGTATCTACTGCAGATAAATTCAACCACATTTACGTCTATTCTGCGTATTTTTATATGTTAATTTCATTGTTTCTCCCGACTCTGCCATAGGTAACTTTGCGTGTCTATGTCTGCAACAAATAGCTTGCTTTGTATCTACCGCAAATCTACATTAATAAATTACTATACTAAAGATGTCTTTCTGTCTACTATAGATACATTTATATATTAGAGATACATTTGTATCCACTATTGATGTTGCCATTTCTATTTTGGGGATTAAAAAAAAAATCGAACTGGTGAAATGCTACACTTTCACCGACCTTAAATAAAATAACAATATTTTCCAGAAGAAATTCGACGGAAAATTTTATACTAAGGAGTTTTAAAGTGAATGAGTGGAACAGTGTCTTCAAAATAATAATGCCAATCCGCCGCCATAATTAGCAAGAAATGAATTCAACGAGGTCAAGGGTGCATTTCCTCTTCTTTTCAATCTCTATTCAGAGGTAATC